AGCCCGGCCAGCAAGGGCTCCCAGATTAAAGGGTCACTGAAACTTAAGTTTTTTTCTTAAATAAACCCAAGATGCCAGTGGCTGAGGCCAGCCTGAGCAGGTTCCTTTACCCTGACAAGGAATGGGACCACCAGGCAAAGCCTTCTTGAGCACACAGCCTCCTGCCAGCAGTGCAGACCTGGCTGTAAAACAGCTACCCAAACCTTACATGAAAGCTGTGCTACTCAGAAAACAGCTACTGAACACACCACGCTGAGGTTATGGGGGGGAAATGTAGGTGTGCTGACCTGCTCCTGTTCACTTTCTGTTGTCAAATCAGCCTTGAGGTAAATAATTTCCTTGTGTGCTTAAGAGGGCACATATACATATTTCCCCAAAAGTCAGAGAAATTAAGGTCTAGAGTTACGAGCCTGAGTACCAGTGCCACAATTAATACATCAGTGTGAGGAAAAGCCAGAGATTTGGCATGCTGAGATCCCTGGCATCTCTCCAAAAGTGCTGCTTACCCACTCAGGCAAGAGCACCCTAAACCAATAATTATCTGCCATCTATTCCCCTCCAGTGCACACGTGTGTTACGACAGCTGGAAAAAAAAGTCTGCATAGAGAGGGGACATGTTGGGCCAGCCACCGTGTCTCCTGGCTTTGCTGTGTACACAGAAATGAGCTGTCCCCAGCCCCTCCACCATTAGCATTACCTGCATGTCTTCTCCTGCAGGTTTGGGGAGGAGTTCATAGCGTGGAGCACTGCCCAGGACGGCCCCACCTTTGTGCCCTATTTCGTTGCCTACATCAACAGCTTCAGTGACCTGACGTAAGTCTGCTCCCCCTGAGCCAAGCTGCTGCATTGCTGGGGGCTGGGAGGGTGGCAGTGTCCCAGAAAGGAAGACCAAGGTCTCCTTGGTGTACCCCTTGGGCTGCTCAGCCCTTTCCCACCTCACAGGGTGATGGTCCCCAAGAGGTGCAGGTAACAGTGAAGATACAGAAGCAGGGATGGATTCGGTGCTTGCATGAAGGCCTTAAACTCATATTCAGCCCATGTTTTTCAGCCTCAGAGGAGGGTTTTTCTCACTTTTTATTCTGGAGGTTAGCAGTGTAAACCCAACAACACAGGCTGGTGGCTGCTTTTGGCAAACTGAAGGAACCCAACCCGAAACTAAACCCCTGCTGCCAGGAGGAACTTCTAGGACGAGTTAAGGATTAGTTATTTAAAGCCATGCATTGAAAAGACCTCTGATGAACAGGTTGCTCCCCAGCTCTGGCTACCAAAGAGAGGAAGTAGGACAGTGCCAGTCCGTGTGTGTCCCAGGGTCTGGTCAGACAGCCCAGTGACGTGGCACACGGTGTCCCTTCTCTTCCCACCCCACAGCTGCCCACAGAGCTGCTGCAGGTGCCTTCCCACCCCACAGCTGCCCAGGGAGCTGCTGCCGGTGCCACGGGGAGCCAGGGCTGCGCCCACAGCACCTGCCCCAGCGGGACGTTCTGCAGCCCCGCAGGGACACGGAGCCCCCCGGTCCGGCCACAGCTGCCCAGGGAGCTGCTGCCGGTGCCACGGGGAGCCAGGGCTGCGCCCACAGCACCTGCCCCAGCGGGACGTTCTGCAGCCCCGCAGGGACACGGAGCCCCCCGGTCCGGGACTCCCCATCACCTCGGGCCCTCCCTGCCGTGCTCCGACCCAGGGCTGGTGCCTGGGGTGCGGGCAGCTCGGGTTGCTGCTGCAGCGCTGCACGGCCCCGGCCCCGGCAGGGATCCCGTGTGCCCAGCGATGTTCGCTACCTGTGAATTATTACCCGGGGGATGCGCAGGACCTGTCAGGTATTACCCGGGGGATGCGCAGGATCTCCCGTTGCGCTGCTTCCCCGGAGCCGGCGGCTGCTCCGCAGCGAGCACTACCCTCGGGAAGTCTCTAGATGGCACGGTCTCTCCAGCAATGCTCACCTCGCCGAGGTTCCTCGGCTCTCCTCCTGTCCCTGGGGAGGATTGTGCTCCCCTTTCCCGCTGGGAACGGGAGCGGTGGCCAAGGGAGCAGCCGGGCCCGGGCAGGGAGCTGGGAGCTTTTTGGGGGGTGGGCTGGCTGCGGGGGGGTTGGGTCTGAGTAGAGTTAAAGGTGACATTGGGAATAAAATCTTCACTGTAAGGGTGGTGAGACCCTGGAACTGGTTGCTCAGAGATATTGTGGGTGTTGTGTAAGGCCGGGTTGGATGGGGCTTTGAGCAACCTGGTCTGGTGGAAGGTGTTGGAACTAGATGATGTTTCAGGGCCCCTCCAACCCAAACCAATCCATAATTCATTAGCCTCGGGTGGTGAGTTGCTGGGCAGAGGTAGGTGAGCTAACAGGAAGATTTTGCAGATGTTGGGCCCAGACTTCAAGTATTCAGCAG